CTTTCCATAATAAAACTATAATACAACTAGAGACATGCTATAGAACTTTATACTAATGGCACATCACTAAACCTGACTCAAAACACCAGAACAATCCCAAGTTCACACATGATAAAATGGGTGAGAATGTTAGATGATCACACTTGAAATTGTTTCTTTGTTTAAATCACACCCCATTAACCCATCTCTTCCTGAAACAATCATGACCCCTGTGTTGTTACCATGGTAACCAAGGAAGTGATGGAAGCTGAAGGTCAATTGACTGTTCCTAGTTTTATTCCTTAAATATGGTCAGTACCCATGCAAAAACACAGCAGAGTGCATTGAATTGTATTCCTAGACGTTCTTTGATGATGTAGGAGTACTTTTTTTTCTTCTGACACCATATTTATATGTTTGAGGTACAGAGAATGGAAAGGAGGTGAGGAGGGAGGAAAGAGGGAGAGTCACGGGAAGGAGCAGACCTCTCTCTTTGGCTAATAATAGTGTCGTTCGCAAGCCTGTATTCTTGTTTCATCATCTTTATGCACAAGCATCCAAATATCAGACAGGTCTTGTATGCCGATTGTGAAACATTCTATTCTGGTCATCATTCCTGTGAAATGTTCTCCAGACAAAATCAGGGCATAGAGGCCTACACCTCCTCAACCATGAATGTCCAGAGTGCTTTATATCTCTCAATATTTAGTACAATAAATGTATGTTTTTATATTAACCCATGAATAGATATATCAGGGCATGTGAGTTAAATGGATTCCGCATCTAAGAGGGCCCTTTGAAGCAGTCCGTTGCACCGAGAGTCTTTTTTCCCCCTATCATAATCCCGTTAATCCCCACCCCGGAGCGCACAGCTCGTAAATCTCACTCCCGAAACTGAGTGACATAGGGCTCGCGAAATGCATTGTTGGAAATACACATCGGCTGCTATCGACAAAAATGGCGGCGTACAGTAGGAAAGAGTATTTGGTAGGCGACGATTTAGACTTTCTGACTGATTTTGAGGAAGATTTGATTCTTGAGCCTGGTGTATGGGAAGTTGGAGACCAATACAAGTTATGCACGTGTGAAATTCCATCAACGGAAAATCTTATTCGTTGCAGCGAACCAGAATGTACGGTTAAATGGTTTCATCGTGAATGCGTAGGCCGCTCCATGTAAATAGGCAGCATTTGAATACATGAATAGTCAATACACTCACAACATACAGTACAAATGCACATAATCATCCCGATGCGGTTGATCGGCAAGTTTGACAGTAGACTCACAATTTTAATTTTTAAATTATTCTTTCTAACATCAGAAAGTTGAACAAATTGTATTTTAATGCTCTTTAGGTGTCATCAATCGTCACTATAGTACTGCCTTTGAATGAAATCAGTTGAGTTTTGTACAGTGGTGTTTGAAATGTTGAGAATCAATAGCACAACTTTCAATACACGGCTAGGGTAGTAATGCAGCTATGTGTGTTTCCACCAACAACATCCAGCATGTACAGCCCAGCGAGCACGGCGGCTTTCGCGTCGCCGGCCCGTACTCGGGGTGAAAAGTGGTGATGAATTGACAACTTCTAACCCTCATTAAACCAAATGCGCAATTATACAACACAGTTTCATTTAGTTATTTTAAGAGATAAACTTGTGGACTACCTTCCTAGCTATGTAAAAATTTCGGAAACTTTCGGAAAATGTCAATAATTAGAAGAGAACGTGATGATGATGAGAAACTTGCATTCACTCTAACTCACGATTTCCTTGGTCGATTTCGCTGGTTCAGATGGCTACGTCTTCAGAAGAGTTATCCGAGCACAGCGAAAGCATTTGATAACCAATAGCAGGTTGCCTTGTGCCATAAGTTGTCGATTTTGTATTTTTGTCTGTTATAGCTATAATTATACATCTTCAATGAGTATGACGTCATTTTCTCGGTGACTCGCATGGCTTCAAAGCCTTTTTTTTACGACCAAGTGTTTGGAGAGCTTAGGGAAGCAGGCCGCGTTGCGTAACACTTCGTAACATTTGGATCGCCAGAGGGCATCTGTGGTCTGATAAGGGCGGCTGTTGATGGATTTGATGGCTGAAGAGGGTTACATTACTTGTTGTTAAGCCAAGTTAATCTTGAATATCTTTCCCTCGGGAAATTCTTTCGAGACGGAATCTCCATTTAAAGTCTCACCTCCCTGGATATATGTAGCCCTTATATCCATGGTTTCTTGAAAATCTAAGTATGGTTAACTTTTTTTTTGAATTTGTTGTATAAAATCACCCAAACAAATTCAAAGATAAAACATTTGAGATTATATTATTATCTTATTCCAAATAAAATCCTTGTTTCCAGCCACTAGCCTACATCAACACATTCGACTTCTTGAATAAATGAAAACACACAGACGACAATACTCTATTTTCACCCTTTGCAAACCGAAACACTAAAGAGGAAAAAACTTAACTCCGAAGGATGTAAAGATTATCTTCTCCCCGTTTTGAATTCCTTTTAATCTCATGAATAGATAGTTAGTATTGTTGCTGGAGCAGGTAGAATTCTTCATCTTCTTTCCTCCATTGTATGTACAACCTCCATTCTCTCTTTACGGTCATACAGATTGTCATGCTTCTCTGCTCTTTGAGTTTGATTCCCTATTTGCATTCTCAAATTCTACTATGGGTCAATTTGCCATTATTTCTCTTTAAAAAACGAGAGGATAACTCCAACATTTATTTGGAAGTAATGCATCATTTTGTTCGAGAGGAAGGGCTCTGACAGGCTGCTTGTGTAAGGGAGAAAGAGACAGAGGGAGAGAGAGGGAGAGAGAGAGAAAACGAAAGAGAAAAGAAGTAGACACCTCCTAACTAAACCGATGACTGCGTACACACAGAGAGTAGGAGCAATCTTCTTTGGTGGGGTCTGGCCTTATTCCACTCATCCATCCCATCTCTAAATGCTTAACTACTAACTCCACCGGTTCCTATTCTTCCACTTCTTTGCTTAACCCACACAACCCCACCAACAAGTGCGCATCCATTGCTTACTCATGCCTGGACCAGGACTGCGGTAATGAGAGGATTAACGTAGGTGAGATTGTTGGCTTGGTACTGAGGCAGGAGCTAGCACACAGAATACAGCCTCGGTTCCACACAATAGGCCTCACTTGACGACAAATCAATAGTGCGATGCGGGCATGGTTGAACAGCATTTGCATGATACACAGACAAGCCTCTCCTCAAACTTTGTCAATCTAGTCTACACCAAGGCTACCTCTATTTTTACATTCTCTATCTGTCTGTCTCACTATATCTCTCTCTCTCTCTCTATCTGCTAAAAGAGAATATTTCTCAATGTTGTGTAGGTGTAGCTATTATACAAATGTTGCCTGATTGACACTGATGAATCATTTAGCAAAAAAAGTAATTGAAATTGATAGCATGAAAATTAGTTCTAATTTGTTTAAGAAGATACTGTTAAATGCTTCTTTGATTTTCTGTTTTCTTTCATAGCAACTCACCATTTAGGTTTGGATTTCCCTTTTCCAGGTCAGCGATATCAAACTGGAAATAATTTCTTAGGCAAATCAAATTTAAGATTTTATGTCAGATTCCATAGTTTAGGGCTTATCAAGTGGTAACATAGCCCTATTCACTTCATCTGCAAACAAAACATTTTCAATTAAAAGGAAACTTGGACCAGGATATGAAACAAAACTTCTAGAAGAAAATAGGAGTGGCCATCCGTATAGATGATGGTATGCAGAGTTCTAGACCGAATTTTCCGTCTCTTTCGTTCGTTAGCCTCTTATTGGAGTAGGGTCGACCGGCTCTCTCTTTAGAGACGGAAACCGTCTATACACATTCCCTTGATAACGCCACGGCCATTTCAGGTCGTAGCGTTTTGCCCCCAAAATGTCATTTTACCTCGTGCATGTTATATTGTAAATTAGGCCTAGGCTATAATAAATCAGTTCCACTTACCAACTTGACTGAAATAATCAGTTTAATAGTCCCTTTTTAGGAATTTATGGGTCAAAATCGAAATCCATGTTGAAAAAGATTTTCAAAATGGATTTCGATTTTGACCCATAATTTCCTAAAAAGGGACCATTAAACTGATTATTTCAGTCAAGTTGGTAAGTGGAACCGATGTATTATAGCCTAGGCCTTATTTACATGTGGATATGCACGAGGTAAAATGACATTTTGGGGGATTTTGGGGGCAAAACGCTACGACCTGAAATGGCCGTGGCGTTATCAAGGGAATGTGTATAGACGGTTTCCGTCTCTAAAGAGAGAGCCGACCCTACCCCAATAAGAGGCTAACGAATGAAAGAGACGGAAAATTCGGTCTAGTAGAGTTCTAGCACGGACCTACTCCAGTTCTAGTCCAAGTTTCCAAATAGCATACCTCTTGACTTGACTTGAGGAGCACTGAGCTAACAACAATTACCTTACTCCAACCAAACAACAAATTCTTCCATATCTTTCTAGCACGAGGTCAAGGTTTATCCAAACCTCACATCGGAAAACAAGATAGACAATAGAATGGATCACAATCACTATTGAAAAACAATTAAATCGTTGAGGAGCTTACCTCTACCTATGGATGAAGGACAATTTGGGGAGACAGACGAGGAAGAGTGTTGGAGTGATGAGGGGAAGAGAAGAGACGGTTCAGAAGTAGGTTCAGAAGTAGGAAAGGAAGTGATGGGAAAATCTGATAAGAGAATAGAGACAGTTTAGAGTTCCATCTACAAGGTTATAAGGTTTGTCTTATGTTCAATAACATTTGTCCTTCTTTATGAACATGATAACCAAGTTGGGGAACATTGAAACTATAAAGCTGCAAAACTTACAATGTAAAACTTTTTTACTGTGGAATTTACAGAAAGAATTTCAATGGAAAAAATACTTTTAATCTGGAACTTTACTTCAGTACTTGAAAACATGACAAATTATCTATCACTTATGCTTGAAATATGATGTCAAATAAAAAAAATATAATGGGATACTGACACATCATAATTAAACTTGAACTTGAACTTGAACCTCGTATCTGCATATAAGCATCGTAGATGTAGACACAGCTCGGCTCGGTCATGTTACACTTACAACCCAAATATCATGAAACACAGAATCCACGACGCAGAATTCAATAGTCTTTTATCTAGGTGTGAATATCATTAAACAAGTGCCGTGGTCGCGAACTCCGTTTTCAATAGATCCGCGCTCCATGAGAGGGGTCGATGGGAAAATAAGTAGAGAAGAAATTAAAAAATGAACGATGCGAAAATGGGCGTTGTCGGATCGCTCAAGTGTCGCACCGAGAGGACTAGAAGAACGGACCCGTACCCGCACACACGCGGTATCAATATGGCACGCCACAGCCGTCATAATTGGTCGAGTTTACAAAAAAGCAGTCGAGTTTACAAAAAAGCAAACGAGTTTACAAAAAAGCAGTCGAGTTTACAAAAAAGCAATCGAGTTTCCAAAAAAGCAGTCGAGAAAAAAAAAAGCAGTCGAGAAAAAAAAAAAAGCAGTCGAGAAAAAAAAAAAAGCAGTCGAGAAAAAAAAAAAAAGCAGTCGAGAAAAAAAAAAAAAGCAGTCGAGAAAAAAAAAAAAAGCAGTCGAGAAAAAAAAAAAAGCAGTCGGGAAAAAAAAAAAAGCAGTCGAGAATAAAAAAAAAAAAAAGCCGTCGAGAATACGTGTCTTCACGGTTGTTTCATCGCAAAGCATGCCGGGACATAATTCTAGTACATTTTTACCTTCGCCGTGATCAGCTGTCCCGTTGCAAACAACGGGATTCTTATCGAAGCAACATCTTAATCTTGTACATAATCCGCTATTCTGCAGTGATTTTCTTTCACTCCAGTATCATTTGTACGGTAAGAAACCAAAGTTTGTGTTTATTCATTTTTATGACGAATAAAGCTGATAATACGACGTAATGCATGAGAGTGGGCCGGGGTCCAACTTTAGTAAATGCAGGCCTAGATCTTGTCCCGTATGTTTAAATTTGTGTGCATTTTAAGTAGCCTGATTGCCTTATAAGTCGATCCTAAACACTCGTGTTTTAGGTAGAAGTTAACCAAATTTACAGTAAAATGAGACTTATGTCTCAGGAAATATGAATAGGTCTAGATCCTATAAACTATACATAATTGATATTGGAATAGGATCTACTAGAATGGCCGACACGACAGTTAGATATGTTTTTTTGTTGTTGTTTTAGTTTTAAGGGGTGTCATTCAATTATGAATATTTACGCTGTGGTGATGGCAAATGAATTAGTCTAGGCCCTAAATGTAAAAAAAGTAAAAAAAGAGGCCATGAAAACGATAGATTTGTCGATCTGGATCTGGATATAATAGTCTGATATCGATGACGATTCTTTTGTTACAATTATTCTTGTGGTCACAAACTTAAATTTGATTGCCTTTCTCCTTTTAGTTGCAGCATCATCGAACACGATGACCAATGAATCAGAAGATGACGTAGATGTTACTAGAAAGCTCATTTCACAATGGACAACAGAAGTGCTACGTGACTTTCTACAAGGAGGAGACTCAAGCTTGTAAACCGAGGAGTCATTATTTTATGGGTGTTCTCTGCCGGCTGCCTTGACGCTGGGGGTAGCTTTTGAGCCATCCGAGTTTAAGACTGAGAGGAACTGGACAATGGATGGATAGGGGAGGACGGGGGGGGGGGGTAGGAATGCAGAACTGGCCTACTATGTACACGTATGTACCTACTGGATAAGGACCCTCCATCACTAGAGGGAAAAATAATGAGAGACTTCAAAGAGGGGAAGGCATATAGTTATTTTGCCTTGTGAAAAAAAATAGATTTAGCCCCTAAAAAAGCGTTCCTTCGGGTATCAAATGATGACAGGTGAAACCTCACAATTGTAGAATTATTATCTGTAATGTGATTTCCAAACCATGTGACAGCCAATGGTGTATGTTGTAAAGGTATTGTAAAAGGCATTGTTTAACACCAGGCCCCCCCCCCCCCCCACTCCGAGAACAGACGGACCCCATGCGTGTTACCAAAATGTCCGGTAAAGGGGTACTTTTCGTGTGACAAAGTCCGGCCCGAGAATTGTACAAAAAGGGGTGTATTAACTTTTCACCCGGAGATTTCTTTAAAAAGGGGGTATTTTTTCTTTTTTTCTCTTATCTCTTTGGACTCCTGAGAAATTATTCTGAATTTAGGGGGTACATTGAGCATTTTTCATGATTTAGGGGAGTCTCCAAGGCAGGAAAAGCCCGCGAAAGGGGGGTTCGGATATGTTGGCAGTCCTCAGATAGGGGGTGCTTTCAAAAAGAGGGAACAAGCATATGCGTACCCTAAATAACACTGAGTGGGGGGGGGGGGCGGGGTTTAACAATGTTTAATTCGAGATTGACGTATGGCCCTACGCGCTACCAGTGTCTGCGATATGGTGTATTAATACTGAAGCCCTAACAAAATCGCGCTTCAAAATGATCAAGAAGTGCCTCAAAAAAGTAAAAATCTTTGATTGACCCCTTTTACCATACTCGTTTTCCTCAATAGACTTGTAGTGTTATGAAAAGCGTTTGACAAACACAAAATTTGGTTTCGATTTCCAATCGTAAATATCTTGATAATCAGACAGGCGATCGGATTGTAAAAGTCATTAAGTTCTTGACTGACCTAAAATTATCATTGCAGCATGAGCTAAATCCAGGATTTTGTTTCAGAATCTGAGATAATGTTACCGGATCCCTTTAAATGCGTTTGCATTAAAGGTGGTACCCCCCCCCCCCCAACTCAGATATAGTGATGGTCTTTGCTTAATTTTAGTTTGCTTTCTTTCCTCTAGCCTTGTATTCTAATTTATTATTTTAATTTAGTAAATGTTGTATAAATATAATTTTGATTTCTATCTCTTCCCCTATGTCATAGCCTTGTTCTTGCTCTCCCTTCCTTATGTTAGTCTATCTCTCTTTCTCTCTCTCTGTAATGATAACCCCTCTATCAATCTTTTCTTCATCAACTCTTGATATATTCCTCCTCTTCTCCTTCTCGTTCATCATCACGATCATCATCATCATCTCAAAACTGTATTAATCAATCTACATGTATAAGACTCCTGAGATTGATCAATACAGTTCTTATAATATAAGACCATTATGTACAAACAATAAACCATATGGTCACAATCATTTAATAAACAGTGGTAAGAACAATTATTCCAACTTGATGGGCAACAACGTAATCTCCATTTTCTCCTCCTCGTTCAAATATTGGCTTCTTTTTCATTCTTTACTCGTGTTACTTCTCTATCTCTCTGACTACAGTGTATACTCACAAGAAAGTAGAATCAATGGGCGGGTTTGACATGAACCAGTCTAGAAAATGAACTAAATTTATTCAAGTATCAAATACATTTTGAATTTAAGACAGCTTTCTCCCAGGAGATGAAACAAATGTCTCCCTAACCAGAAACTGGCAAAATAACTAAATGCCTTCCCCTATTTGTAGTCTCTCATTATTCTTCCCTCTAGTGATGGAGGGTCCTTATCCAGTAGCACACAAATGTCTTTATACATAGAAGACGGCCATCTCTGCATGCCTTTCTTCCCCCCCCCCCCCCATCCATCCATCGTCCAGTCCCTCTCTACCTCGGATGGCTGAACAGTACCCCCAGCGTCAGGGCAGAGAACACCCATAAAATAATGACTCCTCAATTTCCAAGCTTGAGTCCCCTCCTTGTAGAAAGTCACGTATCACTTCTGTTGTCCATTGTGAAATGAGCTCTCTCGTAGCATCTACGTCATCTTCTGATTCATCGGCCATAGTGTTTGATGATGCTGCAACTGATAAATAAAAGGAAAAAGACAATCAAATTTAAGTTTGTAACCTCAAGAATAACGGTAACAAAAGAACCCTTATCGCACTAGATCATGGGGAAACATTTTTGTGCTAAAGGGTGACCCCAACAAGGTGACCTTGCCATCAGCTGAACAAAATATCGGTCTGCCAAATGTTCATATTTTCGGGAAAAAATAGGTGCTCTAACCGACCCCCCCCCCTCTCATTCACCGGCTGGCTGAGTCGATGTGAAATTTTCGGCACGATTTTCAAATTTTAACCCCCCCCCCTCGAAAAAATCCTTCATACGCCCCCGTCATGTAGATCCTCAAGTAGAGCTCATCAATACATAGACTATTATATTCAGATCAAGATCGACAAATCTATCGTTTTCATGGCCTCTTTTACTTTTTTACATTTAGACTACTAATTGCCATCACTATCTAACTGTCAGCCATTCTAGTAGATCCTATTCCAATATCAATTATTTATAGTCTATAGGATCTAGACCTATTCATATTTCCTGAGACATAAGTCTCATTTTACTGTAAATTTGGTTAACTTCTACCTAAAAGTAACACAAGGCAATCAGTCTACTTAAAATGCACACACATTTAAACATACGGGACTAGATCTAGGCCTACATTTACTAAAGTTGGACCCCGGCCCACTCTCATTACGTCGTATTATCAGCTTTATTCGTCATAAAAATGAATAAACACAAACTTTGGTTTCTTACCGTACAAATGATACTGGAGTGAAAGAAAATCACAGCAGAATAGCGGATTATGTACAAGATTAAGATGTTGCTTCGATAAGAATCCCGTTGTTTGCAACGGGACAGCTGATCACGGCGAAGGTAAAAATGTCCCGGCATGCTTTGCGATGAAACAACCGTGAATGTATGTATTCTCGACGGCTTTTTTTTTTTTTTATTCTCGACTGCCTTTTTTTTTTTCTTTCTCGACTGCTTTTTTTTTTTTTCTCGACTGCTTTTTTTTTTTCTCGACTGCTTTTTTTTTTTTTCTCGACTGCTTTTTTTTTTTCTCGACTGCTTTTTTTTTTTTTCTCGACTGCTTTTTTTTTTTCTCGACTGCTTTTTTTTTTTTTCTCGACTGCTTTTTTTTTTTCTCGACTGCTTTTTTTTTTTTCTCGACTGCTTTTTTTTTTTTCTCGACTGCTTTTTTTTTTTTCTCGTCTGCTTTTTTGGAAACTCGATTGCTTTTTTGTAAACTCGACTGCTTTTTTGTCAACTCGTTTGCTTTTTTGTAAACTCGATTGCTTTTTTTGTTAACTCGATTGCTTTTTTGTAAACTCGATTGCTTTTTTGTAAACTCGACTGCTTTTTTGTAAACTCGACCAATTATGACGGCTGTGGCGTGCCATATATCAATGCAGGTTTGTCAAATAAGCCAGCATACAATGGACTACACAAGTAAACAGTCCAGTTTATGCTGGCAGGTATCATCTGGCCGCTGCAAGATGCTGATGAAAAAATACTTCCGCATATATCTCCTTTTACAATAAAAT